GTAGTAGTAGTAGTAGTAGTAGTAGTAGTAGTAGTAGTAGTAGTAGTAATAGTAGTACTAGTAGTAGTACTAGTAGTAGTAATACGAGTAGTACTGATGGTCGTATTAGCAGTGGTATTATTTGTAGTAGTAGTAGTAGTAGTAATAATAGTAGTAGTAGTAGTAGTAGTAGTAGTAGTAGTAGTAGTAGTGGTAGTAGGTGTACCCGTAGTCGTATATGTCCCATCCGTTGTTGCCGTCTTGTCCTTCCTGTCCTTATCGCCTGGCATCAACACTAGCTGGGGAACGAAGTGGGAACTCCGCACTTTATCCTCTCCACAAAGTGCCAGCTGAGCTGCCTGCGGAAAAAAACACCGTCCTACCACACGCTGGTGTGACAGGGTCCAAACCTGGGCGAACAGGCCGACAGAGATCGGGGGTTAGCCGCGGAGTAGCGGTATCCGTTTGGGTCCCCTGGAACATTGCCGATTGGGCCAACATGGCTACTGAGGAGGAGGAGGAAGAGGAGGAGGAGAGGGAGGAGGAACAGGAGGGGGAGAGGGGGGGGGGAGGACAGGGAGGAGGAGGAGGAGGACCAGTGCAAACCCAAGATTCATCAACGATGTTGGGATACACCCTCCTTCCACGTTTCGTTTTCAGAGGCCCCTACACGGGTTCATGTCCACTGAGGGAAGCGCCCCTGTTGGGGACAACCGTATGGCAAATTCTGAAACGTGCTAGAACACCAGGTGCCGGACTTCAACGCCGCGAGTCAACCAGACGGCTGCGTCTTAACGGTGCTGAATCGTGAGAGGAAACCATTCCTGGGGCTTCAGCACCGCGAATCAATGCACCGCTGCGCCTGACAGTGCCACGTCGCTCCAACACATCATTTCTATTCTTGCTCGTTAGCCATGAAAACCAATCGATACATTGCAGCGTGTTGAAACGAATGTGCGCGGCAGCCTAGCGAGAGCCACATTTTTTAACCACCCGCCCTCAACCCGTGCAACCCTTGCAGCATGGTGAAACGAATGTGCACGGCGCTAAAGCGAGAACCACATGCTGAAAACCTCCCGCCGTCAACCCGTGAAACCCTTGCACTGTTTGAAAACGAACGATCGTGCGCTGCGCTGAAGCGAGGGCCACAACTTGGAAGCGACCCGCCCTCCACCTGTGAAGCTGCCACCAGCTTCTAAGTCTCAAGCGAAACGCCTGGTCCGTCCTTCCGACTGGCCTCGGGGTGCGACAGGGTGGAGTTAATCACAAGGGAAAATAATCTTGGGGGGAGAAGAAGCAGGAGGAGGGGGAGTGAGGAGGAGGAGGAGAAGGAGCAGGAGGGGCAGAGGGGGGGGGCACGGAGGCGGAGGAGGAAGAGGAGGAGGCCTCGCCGCGTTTCCTTGCCAAGGAATCCCCAAGATCGCCGCGTCGGTCCATCCCTCTCACGTGCTCTGGTTGGGCTCGAGGGGGGTGTGGTGTCCCGATCTCGGTTCTTGAAAGGGCGGTGCTGTGAACATCCTCGGAACGTGGCGGCGGCGAAGTCGTTCGCCATGTTATTGGCGGGCAGAGACGCCAGCCCGAGGCGTGTGCATGTGATGTGCATTGTGTGTGTTGTGTGTGTCTGTCTGTGTGTGAGTGTGGTTGACTCTGTATGTGTGTATTTGTGTTTGCTTGGGTTCGTGTTTGTGTTTGTGTGTGGATGTGTGTGGTTGTGTGTGAGTGTGTTTGTGTGCGTTTGTGTGTGACGTTGTGTGTTTGCCTGTTGTATGTTTGTGTGTGGTTGTGCGTGCTTGTGTGTGCGTATTTGCGCACGATGTGTGTTTGTGTGTTTGTGTGTTAGTGTGGTTGTGTGTTTGTGTGGTTGTGTGTGTGCTTGCGTGTGTGTGTGTGTTTGCGCGGTTGTGGGTTCGTGTGTTTGTGTGTGTCTGTGTGGTTGTGTCTTTGTGTGTTTGTGTGTTTGTGTGGTTGTGTGTTTGTGTGTTTGTGTGGTTGTGTGTTCGTGTGCTTGTGTGGTTGCGTGGTTGTCTGATTGTGTGTTTGCGTGCTTGGGTGGTTGTGTGTGTTTGTGTGATTGTGTGTGTTTGTGTGCTTGTGTGTTTGTGTGGTTGTGTGTATGTGTGTGTTTGTGTGTTGTGTGTGTGCTTGTGTGTTTGAGTTTTTGGGTGGTTGAGTGTGTTTGTCTGTGTTCGCGTGTTTGCGATTGTGTGTGATTGTGTGGTTGTGGTGTTGTGGTTGTGTGTTTGTGTTTGTGCGTTTGTGTGTTTATGTGTGTGTGTGTGGGTTAGTGAGTTTGTGTGTTTGTGTGGTTGTGTGTGTTTGTGTGGGTGTGCGTGCGTGGTGTTTGTGTGTGTGCGTGTGGTTCTGTGTTTGTGTGTGTTTGCTTGTTTGTGTGTTTGTGTGTGTTTGTGTGGTTGTGTGTCTGTGTGTGAACGTGTTTGTGTGTTTGTGTGTTTATGTGTCTGTGTGTTTGTGTGTGTGTTTGTGTGTTGTGTGTTTGTGTGCTTGTGTGTCTGTGTGTTTGTGTGTTTGTATGTCGTTGTGGTTGTGTGATCGTGTGTGTGTGTTGTGTGGTTGTGTGCTTGTGTGGTTGTGTTTGTGTGCTTGTGCGTGTGCTTGTGTGTGTGTGTGGTTGTGTCTTTGTGTGCGTGTTTGTGTGCTTGTGTGGTTGCGTGTGTGCGTGCTTGTGTGTTTGTGTGTTTGTGTGTTTGTGTGTTTGTGTGTTTGTGTGGTTGTGTGTTTGTGTGCATGTTTGTGTGCTTGTGTGTGTTGTAGGTTTGTGTGTTTGTGTGTTTGTGTGTGCTTGTGTGCTTTGGTGGTTGTGTGTGTGGTTGTGTGTTCCTGTGTTCGTGTGTTCGTGTGTTTGTGTGTTTGTGTGTGTGTTTGTGTGTTTGTGTTTGTGTGTTGCGTGTTTGTGATTTCGTGTGTTCATGTGTTCGTGTGCGTGCGTGTGTGTGTGTGTGTGTGTGCGTGTGCGTGTGCGTATGCGTGTGCGTGTGCGTGTGTGCGTGTACGTGTGTGCCTGTGCGTGTGCGTGTGCGTGTGTGTGTATGAATGTAAATGTGTGCGTGAGAGAGTGAATGTGTGTAAGTTTGTGTGTATGTGTGTACGTATGTGTTTGCGTGTGTTGGCCGCAGTAGTTGAGTCCAGGTCGGGACTTGGTTATGTCCTCTATTGTTGCTCGGTCTCCTGCGCATCCATGCGGGGGACTGTGGCTGCGTTCACCTGGTTCCACAGGAGAATATCATTATCATGTTCCTCCTCCTCCTCCACCTCCTCCTGTTTCCTCCATCTCCTCCTCCAAAGGCAAAGGAAAAGGAGTAGGAAAAAGGATGAGGAGGCGGAAGAAATAGGAAAAAGGAGGAGGGGGAGGAGGAAAATGGAGGAGGAGGAGGGGCGGGGAGCCTCCCTGACCCCGCCCCGGAAAGAAAGGACGCGGCTCGCCCGTGCCGCTGCTCGTCGCACTGCTGGTCGTCTGCGTGGCCACCGACAGGCGCCTGCCCGCGGGCGGCTGCTGCGGCGGCCCCCTGCCGGCAGGGGAGCCCGACGACCTCGCCGCGCGTCCTCGAGCGCGCGGCGCAGAAAGAGAGGCAGAACCGAGAAGGAGTGGGGCGGGGGCAGCCGGGGGCCAAACCGTTGGTCCGTCCCCTGCCCCTCCCCTCCCCCCCTCCTCCTCCTCCTCCTCCTCCTCCTCCTCCTCCTCCTCCTCCTCCTCCCTCCTCCTCCTCTCCTCCTCCTCTCCTCTTCCTCGTCCTGCTCCCTCCTCCTCCTCCTCCTCCTCCTCCTCCTCCTCCCTACTCCTCCTCCTCATCCTCCTCATCCTCCTGCTCCTCCTCCTCCTCCTCCTCCTCCTCCTCCTCCCCTCCCTCGGCCCCGCGGCGCCTTCCGAGGGGCATCCCAGCAATATAGGTCACCAAACGTCGCGCATCGCGCTGGGCGATAGGCGACGCGCGGTCATGTTCATGGGCCTCACACCGCCGACCTGGAGAGGGCCGCCTCCCCAACACTCCCCCCCCCCATAACCGCGATGCGCGAAGCGCGGGTATCTTCGCGCCCACTCGGGTGACCTTTGGCGGTGCGCACAAAGGGGTAGAAGGAGGCTGCTTCTTAGAAGGCGCCGGCCTTACATCTATAGATGAGGCCCCGCGCCTTCTAAGAAGCAGGGGTGCTTCTAAGAAGCTCTCCCCCCTCCCCCCACCCCTCTCTGCACGTGGGTGAGACCTAGAAGAAGAGCCCCATTGCAAGGCCGCCTCTCCGATCGAGGGGTGTGCACAGGCCCGGATCTCTGGCGATGCCGGTTTTCAATGCGGGTGTTTTGGGTGACAGAGCTCTGTACACCAACGCCCTGTCCAGCCCTGCACTGAAATGTGCACAGGAATGCGGATCCTGGCGTAAACGGGGCCCTGGTGTATGTATATATATACACACATATATACAAGACTGCAGTGGCGCTTCACGCCATGCACCATGGTCCTTGAAGATTGGTATGCAGGCGGAAATGGCAGGAAGGTCAAGCGGACAAGTTTGCGATAACTCCTTGCTGCCTTTTCTGGCATCGCCGTTATTATAATGTTGTTCGTTATCCCTCCTCCATGCATATTTTTCCTCATTCTCGCCATACCCTGGGTAGTCTCCCCATCCTCCTCAACTCTATATATGCGGAGGCTCCTCCTTGAAGAGCCTCTGGGGGCCTCACCAAAGTTCCCAGGCTTTCTGAAAGCCTTCTGGAGGCCTCCTGGGCGTGTTCTGGGGGCCTCTGGGGCTTCCTAAGGCCAACCTGCCTCTAACCACGGTCTTCCTGAACGCCCCAGTCACGATTTGGAATGCTTCGGAGGATGTCTTGGGGCCATCTTGGGCCACCATGGGGCTCTCTTAGGTCCATTTTGCACCCCTGTTGTGCCGTTCTGGGGCTCTCGTGGACTGCCTGGAAGCCCTTTCGGGTGGTTGCGGGGCGATTTGGAGCCTCCCAGGCGACTTCGGACGCCCAGAAGACCGCTGTCTTGGAGCGTCGGGAAGCCGAAAAGAGGAGAACCCAAAATTCACCAAAAACCTTCATTAAATCGATGATTATTCCCTCTTGGGGCCTTCTTGGGGGTGCTCTTGGAGGCCTCTTGGTACGTTTTGGAGCGATCTTTCGGGGTATGACGGCTTCTTGAAGCGCTCTTGTGCTGTCTTGGGGTTCTCTGGGACGTCTCCGATGACCCCCCTGATCGCCCTAGGTGTGCTGCGAAGGCTTGGCAAAACGCCCTGCGAGGCCCGGGGGGCCGCTTCGAGGCCCGTCCGAAGGGTCCCAGAGCCCCAGATCCCGGGAGTCCGGTTTGGGGGCGGGGGGGGGGATGGGGGTTTTCCCCCCGCCCGGGCTTGCAAAAATATAGGAAGAGGAATATTATATTGTTCCCCCGGGAAACTGATAAACAAAGTATGCGCCACACCATCCAGACTTCGCTCCAGACCCTCAAAAGGTCCCAGGTTTGAAAAACAGCCCGCCGCTGGCAATGTATATATGTTTCAATGTCCGATGTTTGTTCTCGTCGAGTTCGGCCTATGGGGCCCAGTGTCAGGCCCCGGGGCAATCACGCATAGAGATCCGCAACGAAAAGCTGGTCCCGAGGAAGGGGTCGGGAAATCTTAGGCCGCGCATGTTTCGAGTAGGAGATCGTCTACAGAATTCATGTACCCCGAAGTTCAATTCCTCGACGAGTCATACGTAAAATGTTCGTAGACCTACTGACATTCTACGCATTTCTCATAGATTGGACGAACAAATCAACTTTGGGGTACATCACTTCTGTAGTCGACCCCCTACTCGACTATTGAAACAACACAACAACGTCGGATGTCTGGGTGTGGACCACTGGGGACCAGCTCAGGAGGGAAGCCTCGGCCTGGAACTTCGGCGATGCGTCTCGCAGATGAATCGGCGATAGGCCCCCGACGGCGAGACCGCACGCTCATGGGCGGGGTGGTCTGCTAGGCCCCTATCGACGATGAATGGGCGACTGGGGGTCGATGCATCCCCCCCTGAGCATCTCTCCCCCTATCGCTGCCCCCTTCGGCGCACCGTCAACGTCCTTCTGGCGGTCCCGAGAACGCGTGAGCTGGCGGCACGGCCGCAAGCTTGGTCAGGCCTTTTGGGAGGACGCTGGCGGTCAACCTGCTTCGACCCTGGCAAGCCCATCCTGGAAAGAGGATCGGAACTCACGCCCTCCGGCTTGCCCAGGAAGCTATCTATACACCGACCCCCCCCCCGGATTGGGCTGGCCAGGAATGGTGCAGGCGCATGCTTGGCGTCCCCCAGGCCTTTCGCCAGAGAGTGCTCAGCGCCCATGGAGCGCACCCTGCCCATGTTCATGATCGACTTGGCGAGGCAGTGGCCCTTCGTCTTCGGTGACCGGTCGCGTGCACAGTCAATCCTGCCGCGTGCCCCTGCCGAGGACAGCCTGCGCCCCAGGACGGTGCCCATGTCGTAGAAGCTGAAGATGTAGTCGTCCGCGGCCGCAGGGGACTCGAGCCGGCACTGGAGCTCCGTGTCGCTGCCCGAGAGCACGGCGCAGGCGTGCGCGGTCCCGTCCGGCAGGTCGAGGAAGACCTCCTGCTTCGAGGGGTCGGAGGGGTGGAAGCCGGACCCCGTCACCGTGATGACCGCTCCGCCGGCGATGGTGGCGTATCCAGGGGAGACACCAGTCACCTCGGACGAGGGTCGACCGAGACAGCGCTTTTTGCGTTTTCGTGCCGTGTTCGTCCGGGGGCGTCTACGGACCCGAACACGGCCTGGCCGCTTGCCCAAAACAGCGCTTTGGCGCAGATCCGAAGTCGTGCCTGGCCAATGCACAATGCTTGACCTCGGAGCGAGAAACGGCGACGACGAGATTGCCCAAACCACGTTTTGATGAAGCTCTGACCTTAGAGGACTCTGAGATGGGGTCCGAGTAGATGGGGTCGGAGGATTGCGCCGCATCGGCGATGCATGGCCGATGCATCCGCAATGTATCGGCAATGCACCAGCGACGTCGGCGATGCATCGGCGACGTCGATGTAGAGAAACATCGGGCTGCACATCGAGCCGCATCGCCGATGCATCCGAGATGCATCGTCTATGCGGCGCGATCCTCCGACCCCATCCACTCGGACCCCATCTGGGAGGCCTAGAGACCTGCCGACCCCGAACCCCCAGCTGTGATGCCCTCCTCGCAGTGCTCGATTTCGAGTGCCGCTCGCAGATCACCACCGCTGGCGGGTCGGGGTCGGGCGCTTTCCTCAGCCCAGCGGTTGTGGCTGCCCCTTGTTCGCTAAAGGTTGGCGGCGCGCACAAGGGGGCACAGTCAACCCGCATGGTAAGGATGGGCAATTTTCCACAGGGTACCCTTGCATCATTGCCTCCTCGGCCCATCATTGGCCACTTTCGTTGGCCGCGCCCCACTCGCAAAGTGTCGAACATTACCTTCCAAGGCCCTTGCATCCGATCGTGCGTCCTTATGATACGAGTTGAGTGCAGGAAAAGGGGGGAAGGCTTCCCAGGAGGCAACTTCTCAGAGGGCGCCAGCCTCACACCTACAGCTGTGGCCCGCGCCCTCGAAGAGGCAGCCTCCCTCTACAAGAAGCACTCCCCCCCGCCATAACCCCCCCTTCTGCGCGTTGCCGAAATTAGAAAAAGAAAAGAACGCCATAAACATAAACTTGTGGCGCTCCGCGCGGATTTTTTTGATCTGCGCCAGACCCCCCTCCGTGGCGCGCGGAGCGCGCTGGAGGCGGCGCCGGAGGCGCCGCCAGGGGGGGGGGGGCCACAGCGCGGATCCAAACAAGCCGCGCGGAGCGCCAACAGTTATGTTTACGGTGAGCACATTGGATAAGGCACCATTCGACAAGGAATCGAGGGTCTGGAAGGCGGTGGACCTCCAATGGGGACTTGGCCCTGGATATCATCACCGCCCCCATGGGATAAGGAGCCCCGCAGGGTCTGGAGTCTCCTGGGCACATTCCTTAATCAGCGCCCCACCGTATAGCGTTTGTTCTCCTTCGAGAAATGGCACCTCAAACAGGGACGTGAAGGTCGCCGAGGAGTCGACGGCTGCACGACCCAGCCCCTCGACCCACACCTCGGGCCTCGCCGTCGCGTTCGTGGGCGGCGCGGGCACAGAACGCTGCAGCCAGCAGCCCGTGTGCGACTCGTTGTGCTCCTCCGCCGGGCCGGGCTCGGCCCGAGCGGTGCTCCTCCTCCTCCGCCTCCGCCTCCTCCTCCGCCTCCTCCTCCTCCGCCACCTCCTCCTCCGCCTCCTCCTCCTCCTGCTCCGCCTCCTTCCTCCTCCTCCTCCTCCTTCCTCCTTCTCCTCCTCCTCCTCCGCCACCTCCGCCTCCTCCGCCGCCTCCTCCTCCTCCTCCGCCCTCGCGCCGTGCTCTCCGGCTCCCTCGCCTGGCCTCCGCCCAGCCCTCGCCGCAGGACTGACCGCCTACCAGACCACCCCAACCCAACCCGAAGGCCCCAATTTCTGGCGGGGGGGGGGTTAGGGCTTCATGTGTGCTTTCCCAGTGTTCCCCGACCCCCCCCCCCGCCACTGGAAATGGGAGGCAAATCGGGGCCTTCGGGTCGGGTCGGGGTGGTCTGGTGGGCGGCGGCGGACGGCGTCGAGACGCAAACGGCCCACGAAGCCCCCGAAGCACCGCTTGGGCCGAGCCTCGCTCCTCGACGACGCAGGGCCGGCCGCCGAAGGTGACGGCCGGCGGCGTGCCGCCCCCGCCCAGGCGCTGCCCCGAGAGGACGAGCTCCACGGTGAGCCCGGCCGAGTGCGTGGCGGGCGACACGGCGCCGACGGCCGGGGTCATGCTGGCGGCGTAGACGAAAGTCCCGAGGAGCACGGGGGTCGGCCTTCTGGAGGCCTCCCAGATGGGGTCCGGATACAGTCAGCCAGGATAAAGTTGCTAAGGATGGGCCGAAGGGGCAAGGATGCAAGGGTACCCTTGCGAAGTCACCCCATCCTTACTATCATGGTTGACTGTAAATGGGGTCGGAGGATCATGCTGCATCGCCAATGCATCGGCGATGCATCGACGATGCATCGGCGATGCATCGGCGACGTTGGCGTTGCATCGGCGACGCCAGCACGGAGAAAATCGGGCTCCACATCGAGCCGCATCGCCGATGCATCGACGATGCGGCGCGATCCTCCGGCCCATCTGCTCCGACCCATCTGGGAGTGCACGCAAGAGTGATCCGGAGCAAGAACGACATCTGGTGCGCGGCGTGTGGGGGGGGGGGGGGGCAACGTTTGGCACGAGGGGACCAAACCCAAGCGCGAGGGCCGCTGCTATCGCATCGCATTCAGCGACCGGGGGGCCCAGTGAGCCTGCAGCAAAGGTCACTCCAGCGATGGGCCGCTACATCTTAGAAACATGAAAAGCTGCATGGGCATCATTTCTCGGAGGTCCGTGCGGATTACCTGGAACGACGCTGGACCCCCCAGCGTCGAATGCGCCGCCGAGGGGGGCCCAACGCCAATTCAAGAAATCCGCGCGGAGCTGCGAGAAAGTCTGTTTGCCTCGCTGCTTCTTCTTCTTCTTCTTCTTCTTCTTCTTCTTCTTCTTCCATGCCCCCACAGACACAGGGGGTCAGCCTCAGCAGCACGATCTCCACCTCCACCTCCTCCGGCGCATCCTCGAGGGAGGTTCCGTTCAGCATGTCCGGCGTGAGGCAGACGACGCCGCCCCGACCCACGGAGGCGACGGCGAGCGGCGAGGCGTCCGTCTCGGAGCAGGCCATGCCACCTACAGTGATCTCCGCGCACGGCATGCCCGCGAGGCCGTCTCCCGCCAGCGTAAGCGGCGTACCGCCTGCCAGGGAGCCAGTCAGGGGCCAGATGTCCTCCACGGTGGGCAGGTATGTCACGTTGGGCGCCATGGACGGATCTGCCAGGCCCTGCGTCACGGAGAGCAGCTGCACTCGATGCACGCCAGCAGTGCCATTCGACACCGTGCAGTTGAGAACCCTCTCCCCACTGCTTAGATTCCACCAGGCGCTGCCACTCCACGCATCTGTCACGTCCGTCAAGCCGGCACAGGCGATCGAGGACCCAAGCGTGATTGTGATCGCGCTGGTGTTGGCGCTGGTGTTGCCGTCAATCGCGCTATTGTTGGCGACGATGGCGGTCAGAGTGCTACCGCCCTGCACAGTGCCGGGGTACACGCTAAGAAGCACTGGAGTCAACTCCTCCAGGTAGTAGAAGGTGGGTACATTCTCGTTTGCAGTAGCGCCAAGTACACCGAAAGTCTCCACGGTCACCACCATCGCTTCGATGTCCACTGGATGAGGCATCTCGAAGAGGTCCATAGGGACGCGCTCCATCATCAAGGCATCTGCGTCGCCATCCTCGACTGGTACCACTGCGATACTGTAGACGGCCGAATGATCTGGGTCCGGTACCCCGACGAAGTTTTTGAGGTCCAGGTCCAGTAAGCTCACATCACCCAGCGGCTTCCGGAAGCGCACGAAGATCTCCCAGGACTCCTCAAAGGCCTCCCTAATCATAGCCGGCCACGCCTCAACCTCTAGTGCAACGCCATCGCCGAGAGTCGTGGATAGATAGTAGGCGACGCTCCAATAACCGATCCGAGGGTCAATCGGGTCGCTCCATACGCCGTCGTAGCCCAGACGAAAGGTGCCAGAGGGACCAGGGGTCCCTACGTCCTGCAAGCCGGCAGTTGCTCCTACGTTGCCCGCCAGCGCGGTAGGCACGGATAGAGACATATGACTGAGGGTACCCTGGGGCAATACGCAATTGGCGGTCACCTCGTAGGTCCGGTTCACAGGGCCCTGGTTCGTCAGCGTGACGTCTAAAGACATGCAGGTCAACATCCTTGTCCAGGTGCCGCTGATATTCACGGTTTGAAGAGCAGTTGCGATGTCGCTCTCGGAGTAGTCCGGGCTGAGCGTCACGTAGTTCACCGCGCCGTATGTAGGGTTCGAGACGGCGAGCTTGTACGTGCCTCCAGCGTCGGAGTTGACCATGCGGATATCCGCCAGCCCCGGGCCGGAACGAACTGAGCAGAGGAATCAAAAACTACATCAGCGCAAATGTTCGGAGCTCCGCGCGGAGTTCTCGGATCAGCGCTGGACCCCCCTGCGGCGACTCTTGGCGCCGCCCCAATGGCGCGCTCCGCGCGCCAGACAGGGGGGCGCCCAAAGCAGAACCAAGGAATCCGCTCGAAGCTCCAACAGCTTACTGTCGAAACGCTGTCATAAGGAACCCTAAATACGGAACGAGGCCCCCTTCCTCCATTAGTGTGACTTCGGCTTACCATAGAAAAAATAAAAAGAAAAGCTAAAATTCGGCGTTTCGACATTGGGCGGAAGGGGGGGAATGAGGGGGGTCTGGCTCTGGACCTCTGCGTCGCGCAACTGTTTGCAACAGTGCGCTTCATTGGGGGAGACTCCACCTGCTTGAAGCAGGCGCAAAAACACAGCCAAGATCTACTCCGTGGGAGGGGAGAGCGGGCATGCTGTGGTAATCCCAACCGACTGGGTGTATGGGGGTAATTCCAGCCAGCGAGAACGACAAACTGGAGGTAATTCCAACCATCTGCTTCAATTGCAGAATAACTCCACGAAAAGGTTTTAATTGCGACGCATTGTTCATACATTCCCCCAAACCAAATGGTCGGCTTACGTGCGCACATTTATCCGACTACGCAACATGGCTGCCCCAGTTGGAATTGCATCCACAGTGCCCTGCGGTGACGTGGACCTCACGATGTGGATATGAATGGCGGTGTGAATGGCTCGTGTGTTGAGTGCGGTGTGTGCGATGTGTGCGGCGTCCGCTGTGTGCGGTGTGTGCTGTGTGTGCGCGTGTGTGTGTCTGTGTGTGCGTGCGTGCGTGCGTGTGTGTGTGTGTGTGTGTGCGAGTGTGTGTGTGTGTGCGGTTTGTGTGCTGCGTGTGCTATGCATGGGGTGTGTGCGGTGTGTGCGGTGGTATATGATGCGTGTGTGCGGTGTGTGCGGTGGTGCCGTGCTGTATGGTGCACCATATGATCTATCATATGGCACCACTTTTGACGTACCAAGTCATACGACCTGATACTTAGCAGAACATGCCACTTATGACTTAGCACGTGGACACACGTGAAACATGTCATATGTGACTACTTCTGCTGCGCCATGTGATACTACTTATGACGTGTCACATGATACTGGGTACGGTGTCACGTACGATAGTACCCAACACGCATCACATGACGTATCATGTGGTGCCACCTGTGACGTATCATCTGGTATTGTCTACGCGGTGGTATGGGATACGACCTATGCGGTGTCATACCGTACCACTTATGAGTGAGCAAATGCTACGGCATACGACTAAGCATCTGAGAGTTCCCATGCTGCATCACATGGCAACCCATATGGCGTGCCATGTGGCACCACCGATGGCGACATGTGGTGAAACCGATGATGTCTCACACGAAACCAGTTACGATGTAAACAGTGCTCAACCATATGGCGTATCAGATGATACCACCGAAACGTGTCATCTGTATTACGTGTACGATCCCATATGACACGACCTATGCCGCGTGATCTGGTACCAGCTAGTATGCATCGTGTGATACTACCACTGACATGTCTTTTGAAACCACAGCTGGCGTATCATATATGTGACGGGGCAAATGAGCAGTGATAAGGGTGATCGACAGCTTCAGACAAAGGGGAAGGAGGGACAGCAGCGTCGTAGAAGCGTCGTAAAAGCGTCGCAGAAGCCTCTCACAATCCTCGTAGAAGCCTCAGATTCCTCGCAGCAGCCTCTCAGAATCCTCGCGCTGTTCTCGCACCAGCCTCTCGGAAGCCTCTCAGAATCCTCGTAGAAGCCTCTCAGAATCCTCGCAAAAGCCTCCCTGATTCCTCGTAGAAGCCTCTCAGAATCCTTGTAGAAGCCTCTCATGACCTTCGTAGAAGCCTATCAGAAGCCTCTCAGAATCCTCGTTGAAGCCTCTCATAAGCCTCTCAGAATCCTCGCGGAGGCCTCTTATAAGCCCCTCTGAAGCCTCTGATTATCCTCGTAGAAGCCTCTCAGAATACTCGCAGAAGCCTCTCAGAAGCTCGTCAGAATGCTCGTAGAAACCTGTCACAAGCTTCTCGGAAGCTTTCTCAAGGGATTATCAAAAGCTTCTCAAGGGATCATCATAAGCTTCTCAAAGGCTTCCCAGACCCTTCCCAAGGGCTTCTCACAAGCTTCTCAAGGGATTAACAAAAGCTTCTCTAGGGATTAGCATAAGCTTCTCAAGGGCTTCTCATAAGCTTCTCAAGGGCGTCGCATAAGCTTCTCATAAGTTGTTCACCAGCTCCTTAAGAAGAAAAGCCGTTGTATATCTCGGGCAGCTGGAATTACACCCACTTTGCTTGGGACAAGCACCGAAGCAGTTGGAATGTCGTCTAGCTGGTTGTAATTTCCCCCACTGCCGCGGGAGGAAGGGAGGGAGAGAGGGCCCGCGCCGATCGGCAAAACGATGAACGAGCAAACGATCACCTTCTTCAGCGGCCCAGCTGTATGCTTGTGCCGTTGCCTCTTCGTCGACTGTTGGGGGGGGGGGGGGGGGCGCCGCCCGGCGCAGCACATCTCCCTGGCGGCGGGCACCGCGCGGCACTGCGCGCACGCCCCAGGCAGGACGCTGCACGTGCGGCACAGGCCACACAGGGCACGGCACACGTGGCACGGCACGATCGGGCGTACACAGAGGAGGAGGAGGACGAGGAGGAGGAGGAGGAGGAGGAGGAGGAGGAGGAGGAGGAGGAGAAGGAGGAGGGGGAGGAGGAGGGGGAGGAGGAGGAGGAGGAGGAGGAGGAGGAGGAGGAGGGGGAGGAGGAGGAGGAGGAGGAGGAGGAGGAGGAGGAGGAATCGAGGAATCGAGGAAGGAGGAGGAGGAGGAGTGCACAGAGGAGGAGGAGGAGGAGGAGGAGGAGGAGGAGGAGGAGGAGAAGAAGGAGAAGGAGGAGTCGAGGGCCCGTGTCTGCTGCGGCGGCCACCGTGGCGGCCCTGGGATGGAAGATCATCTCGACGGGCCGTGGTCTCGGGTTGCGCCCGGGGGTGATCTGCTCGCCGTTCCCGAGGAGCTCCGATCCCTGGCATATGCAGTGGAGGCCAGTCCACAAGGTGAGCGTTTTTTTATTCGGCGTTTCAATATTGGGCGAAAGAGGGAGGGGAGGAGGTTTGGCTCCGACACTCTGCTAGCTTAGTGCGACTGTTTGCGACAGTGCGTCCTATGAGGGGAGACCCCGCCTGCCTGAAACAGGCGCCTAAAACAGGCAAGATCTACTCCACGGGGGAGGGAGGAGAGGGGGGGTGCGAGTGTCCGCGCCGATCGGCGAAACCATGAAAAACAAAACGAACACGAGAAACCTTCCACAAGGGACCCAACCCTGAGACCTCAGGACGTCCGTGGGTTTTTGGTGTGGGAGCGGCACGCCCTCCACAGCTGAGCCACCGAAGCCCAAGAAGCCCAGGGCACCCCGAGGGCAAGCAGGATTCTTCTTGGCATGGGCCTCCACGGTGTGAGACCTCCAGGAGCGCCTCAGCCGAAACAGTGTGGGCCGGTGCGCCCCTGCCTGGGGGGAGAGCAGACTGCGTGGACAGGCAAGGTCTTCCTGCTGCTCTGGGCTCGCAGGCGAGCGCTCATCTCGCTGGAATGCTCAGGCGGAGGGCGACGGAGAGGCGACGGCCGCGGAATAGTGCTTCTCGCGGACGATGCCGGTGCTCGAGTACGTCACGCGCTGCAGCTCCATGGCAGGGTGTGCTCTGATCGCATCATCTGCCGCCTCGGATCCAGGGAGGCACTCAAACGGAAGGAGAAACGTCCCTCCCCAGATCCTTCCAAGCGGTTGCCAGGGTACGCATCCTTGTTCCAACCATGGGCAAGGAGCGGAAGCAGGATCGCCCGACGGAAGGCGGACGAGGGAGAGAGACCAAGGCGAGGAGGCCATGCGGTTCGCTGCAAGCGCGTCAGTGCCCGCGGAAACTGAGCACCGCCTTGGTCCTGGCTATCTGCAGACGTGCGGCAGGAAGAGCGGCCCCGAGGGAGTCACTGCACCGCAGGGCGGCGGACGACCACCCTCCAACACGGCCCCAGGGGCCGACTGGTGCAGCACGGCTGCTCGGCCCTTCCTCCGAGGAGTTTGGCATGTGAGCTTCCAGCCTGAGAGCAAGGGCTCGCCTCTGGTCGGAAGGCTTCCCCTTCGGGCCTGGCGCCCCTCCGACTAGCAGCTGCTGATCGCGCCCTGGACCACCCTCTCGCGAGAACCGCGCACGCCTCCCACACGCAGGCCCTTGCCCTGCGGGAGCCCCGAGCGGGTCAGGTCCCTGAAACACCGCAGGGGGGGGGGGGGGCCAGAACCGGAAGGGCGCCTGCAGGCAGGAGGGCCCCAGCGGAGGTGGCCGATGCACGCAAGGGTAGGGTTCGCAAGAGTTCTGCCTCTCCCCACATCTCGGAATCAAACACGCTGCGAATCAACGAATCGCTGGGCGAACTGGAAACGC